AAGCTTGGAAGCAGGCTGTTTCAAATAAAAATTTAACAAGGGGCAGCTAGGTAGTACAGTGGATAGAGCCCTAGCCCTGGAGTCAGGAGGGCCCAAGTTCAAATCCAGCGTCAGACATTTGATATTAGCTGTGTGACTCTGGACAAGTCACTTAACCCTGATTTCCCCTCCCTCCCAAAAATTTTTACATAACACAATGTTACCCTGCCTATTTTGTTTCTCAAATATGTTTCTATCACATTTTAAAGCTTTCTGTAATTGCTTGGGTTTATTTTGTATATAACATAAGAATACCAATACCCTATCACCTCTGATCAACAGACCATCCTGTCCAGTATTCTCCCTCTGCTATTAGTCCCAATGAAAATGTTGTTGGAGCTCCTGTTGCCAGATTGTAAGCCCCACAAGACTCTCTCTGAAATAAGGGGATTAGATTAGATCAAAGATTTTTCACCTTTTTGTGTTGTGGACCCCTTTGGCAGTCTGGTGAGGCCTATAGTCCTCTTCTCAGAATAATATTTTTAAGAGTGTTAAACTATTTAGTATTTTTAAATTTTTATATTTTTTAAAAAAATTTAAACTTTGCAAACCCTAAAGTGCTACATAAATATTAGCTGTTATTGTTACCTACTGTTATTTTTTTCTAAAAAGTTCATAGACGCTAGGAAAGGGATGGGGAATCTCTGAACTGTATTATCTCTAAAATTCTGAAAATTAAAAGATCTTGTAACCTAGTAATTGAAATATTTTCTATTTAACTGTTTATCTGAATTATATTAACTTAATTCTGGGAACATTTTGAAAGTATGGTTAACTTTTTTAGAATATCGCTTTTTCCAAAATCTAGTTAAGGGACTCTGATATCAAACTTCCTAACCATTAGATATCTACCATCTAGAAATTTGTCAAAACCATTCTCACACATATGACTGGTCATGCAATGCTAGAGTTGGAGGGGTCCAGTTCCCAGACAACTCCTACCTTCATGGGCCTCTTAAAACTAAGGCCAAGAGAACTGGTGGCTTTTCCAAGGCCACATAGCTATTTAATAGCAGAACAGGATCCAGAACCAGTCACTATTACACAGGGTAAAAATGTACATGTTTCCTGCTCATAATTAGGAAGCATACTACACCTCATAATATATTTGACTTCGGGAGTCAAATAACACTATTGAATCTGAAGTATTTCTTAAATTATTCTCCAAACATTTTCTGCCCAACATATAAAAATATTTTTCTCCTTGAGTAAAAATATCTAATGATCATAGAGTTCCTTTAAGGAGAGCAATTAAAATTAAGCAGAAATGCCATTTCCGTGGCATTAACCATGAAAATGCTTAGGGTGTCAGTTGTAATATGTCTAAGCTTTCCCCCAAAATTTCTATTTGTAATACGGATAAGAGAATAACTGCAACCCTTTTCAAATATTTAAAAGACGTTAAGTAAGGTCAAGGAATCTCATTCATTGCCCAAGGCATCAGTTTATTTTTATCTAAATTCATCTTTTTGGTGAAAGGTGAACTCTGATAAAGTTTTCCTTATGACTTTGCAGTTAAAGAAATGAGCAGCCTGCTTTTTCTTTGTTGAATTCCTCAGAAGGCAGTAAGGAGAGAAAGTCCACAAGGGGATTGGGCTAATTATTTTTAACTTGCTACAAGGCCCTCTATGCAAAGAGACTATGCAATGTTATTCTCTTGAGTTCAGTTAGGCTCAGTGTCAGTCTGATCCAAGGAGGACTAGAGAAAGTTATGACAAGAACCTATGGAAATAGTTACCTGATTACTGACCTAAAGAATTATCTAGAATTAGCTGGGAGCCTGTGAGGTACTGAGGACCAACGATTAGCCTGAACAAACAGAGAAGGCACTGCAGAAATGTGGAGTCCGTTAAAGTATAGACGTCTCCATGATCCCATATTCACTTTCATTGCACAGTAAAACAGGCAGCATGGTGAAGGGAAAAGAACATGGGATTGGGAGCTAAGAAACCTGGGTTCCAGTTCTAACTCTGCCACAGACTAGCGGTATGATCTCTAATAAGTCTTTTCCTGTATCTGGGCTTCACTTTCCCCACCTTGTAGAATAAAGAGGTAGGAATAGCATATCTTCTCCACATTTGGTTCTAACCCTGTCTGCTATCCTCTCTCCTCCAAAAGGTCATCCAAGAAACCATCTACCAAAAGATCAAAATGGATTCATTGACTTTAAAAAGCAAACAGAACTTGCTAGGATAAGGGATGATATGGGCTTCCTCATAAGACATGGCCAAAAGGGCATGATTATTATTATTAGTTTTGGAAATATATTTGTTTGGCTTCTAAAATTAGCAATATCCTAAGATATACAGAGCCTAGCTCTGTAATAGGTTCCATGGAAGATGGACATGGTATATGTATATAGACATACATAGTCCATCTATATGCTTATAGTCCATATATATAGAACCGAGTCCCTTTTCTCTTTGGTGAACAAAGGTCAACATACACAAATCAAGAAGAATGTAAGGTGGTATAGAATAAAGTGATCCAAAGGGTAATGGAGACACATGTGACATAAATACTTTAGGCTGCAGTGACTTGCAATGATGATTTACACATGAGAAGTAGAATAATATTATGCAAGAAATGTCTTATCAGAAAAGGAGGGTGGGTGTAGACATATAGGGAGAGCAAAGACAAACAGATGAACAGCCCAAGATATATTGGTGCCCATGAAATGTTAAAACACCGCGCTCTAGTGCATTGGGTATAAATAACCCCAGCTGGGTATTGTTGTTTAATCCTTCAGTTGTATGCAACTCTTTGTGACCCTATGGACTGTAGCAAGCCAGGCCCTACTATCCCTCACTACCTCCTGAAGTCTGTTCAGGCTCCTAATAGGCTGTGAAAGGTCATCATCAAGAATCTCACAAAGTGAGAAGGTGAATGAAAATGGATTATCTTCAGCTACCACACTGATGAGATCACAGATCCTACTGAAATATTGGTACATAAGTATAATCAAGTGCTGAATTGTACTAATGGGTGACTCATAGCTGTATTGTAGGTGACATTATGGACCCACGTGTAGAGGACTGAGTAAGATTAGACTCCAGGGAAGAGAGAGATTCCCTTCAAAATGGAAGGTCTCTGTAAATGAAGATCAACTTTTTTCTCAAACCCCCCAAAATTGTTAACATAAATTAAATCTTTTTAAAAATGATTATTTTTGAGATTCTTGACATTTTCTTCCTCTGTATGATTTTTATTTTTATTTTTTTCTGGCTCTACAAAATACTCTTTTGGAACTTTGGTACAGCACTGAATAAGTACATTAATTTAGGTACTGTCATTTTTATTATATTGACTTCACCTACTCCTGAGCAATTAATGTTTCCTCAATTATTTAGCTCTATTTACTTAGATTAACTAGGTCTCTTTATTTCTGCTATGAGTCTTTTAGCTTCATATAGTCGCTTTTTGATCTCAAAAGAGACACATCTCCAGCTTTGGTGAATTTACCTAGATATGGGATGTCCATGTTTCTATAAAGGATCTAGCTCTTGCATTATGTCAATTGGAACTTCATTTGTTCATTCAACAACTAACTTTCTCTGGGTTAGGCAATATAGAGATTACAGAGAAAAAGAAAGGGGCCTGCTTTTGAAGATCTTCTAATCTCACAGGGGAGACAAAGCATTAATAAACATATAACATAATAATGCACATATAACAGTGACAAATAACTCCCATCACCTAATCGTTGTGGTACAAGCAAAGTAGGTCCTGGTTTTAGAGCAAGGAACAATCACTTCTGGCTGGAACATCGGTGAAGGTTTCATGAATGGGATAGAATTTGAATTAGGGTTTGAATGATGGGGTAGTATGAACGGAAACAGACATGGAGAGGGAAAGCATTGCAAACTGAGGGGATAGCATAAGCAAATGTGTGGAGGCAGGAAACTACAAGGCATGCTTAGGGACTGCAAAATTGGTCAAATGTGATAGGAACGTAGCGTTCTTGCAGGAGAGGAGGAGAAAGTGATAAATGGATGGAAAGTCAGTAGCAACCTGATTGTTGACAGCCTTTAATGTTCAGGTTAGAGCTTGAGCTTTTAAACGGGCAGGGAGAAGCCACAGGAGGCCGGGGGGGGGGGGGAGGGGGGGGAAAGGACTCCAAGTGAATGAAGTGGGACCCTAACAGGATAATTGACTCCCCACCCTGGTGTGTGTATGCACCCCACCCCCTTTTCTCTAGTCAAATTCCAGTCCTTCCAGGCACCCGCAGCTGGGTAGCCGCCTCCTCCAGGGCGTCTTCCTGGATTGATGGTAGCGGGGGAGCAGGGAGGGGGACCCCTCCCGGAGAGAAGCATCCGCGTGCGCACCACACAGGTGCACCGCATCACTCCGCCCCTCCCCCCTCCCCCCTCCCCTGGCTGGGCCACGGCTCCCCCGCCCCCGCGAAAAGAGCTCGGGTCTCCTCGCGAGTGCGCAGGCACGCCGAGCCCTCTGACCTCTCAGGGGTCTCTGGCTCCACCCCCGGCACTTCGCAGTCACCCACTCAACACCGCTGAGAACGCAGTAAGGGATTAAGCGGTATCTGTCTGCTTCATGGAACAGAATGACATTATTTTAAATGGAAGTAGTGGATGAGGAAGAGAAATATTGCATGGGGTGGGGGCTGGGATTGAATGGGGTGGGGACGCAATCTCGCGGCCCCCCCCCCCGGAGGGGCATCCGGGCGGGGGGGGGGGGCGGGAACAGCAGGCATAGGCTAGAGCTAGTCATCTTCGGAGTCGCGGACGGTTCTCATTGGTGGGATAGACTGAGATTTATCACGTGACAAGGGTGTGTGGTCGTGGTGTTGAGGGCCGAGGAAGCCATTTTAGCGAGAGCTGAGGCGCTAACGAGGCTGTACCTTCCGTGGGCAGGTCCTTCCGAGAAATCGGGTCTTCCCAGCTGCACCGAGGGAGGCACCGAGAGGCAGAGACGCAGGAAGGCGGTGAGCCTTCATTTAGGAGATGGCCCTGAAGGAGGATGGCAGAAAGTGCCCCAGGAAGCCCAGATTCCAAGAAGGTGATCGTGTGCTGTGCTTCCATGGGCCTTTCCTGTACAAAGCTGAGTGTGTGAAGGTGTCCGTAAAGTACAAGAAGGTGAAATATCAGGTCCGTTACTTTGGGGTTAAAGGAAGGGCTTGCGTGAAGGCCGAGGTCGCCGAGCAGCCTTGCAGTCTGCAGGCCCCTGATGCCTGCCAGCCAAGCACCAGTCAGGCCAGCGACAATGTGGTAGCCCTCGCTGTTGCTGGTGCTGGTGCTGGTGCTGGTGCTGGTGCTGGTGCTGGTGCTGATGCTGATGTTGGTGGTGGTGCTGGTGCTGATGCTGATGCTGGTGCTGGTGCTGGTGCTGGTGGTGGTGGTGATGCTGATGCTGGTGCTGGTGCTGATGATGATGCTGGTGGTGATGCTGATGCTGGTGCTGGTGGTGGTGCTGATGCTGATGCTGATGCTGGTGCTGGTGCTGGTGCTGGTGATGGTGCTGATGCTGGTGTGGCGTGGAGAGGGCGCCCCTCCCCCCAAGCTGAGTGGGAGGATGAATGGCTTCCACAAAGCAAATTACTCAAGTACAGCAAGGCCAATCGGAGAAAACTACGAAAACTCAACAGAGCAAAGCAGGGGCCGCTTGCAGAAGGGACTGTGGTAGGGCCAGTTACTAGAGAAAAGGCCTCTGCTCTCCAGAGGAACAATGATGAAACCTCAGGTGTGACAGTGCCAAAAGTAGTCCGAAGGCCAATTATTCGAATTGCACAGACTGACAGTAGTGATGTCAAACCTGCTCGTAAAAGAGGGAGGCCGGTTACTCGAATTGCAGAGACTGACAGTAGCGATGTCAAACCTGCTCCTAAAAGAGGGAGGCCGGTTACTCGAATTGCAGAGGCTGACAGTAGCGATGTCAAACCTGCTTGTAAAAGAGGGAGGCCGGTTACTCAAATTGCAGAGGCTGACAGTAGTGATGTCAAACCTGCTCGTAAAAGAGGGAGGCCGGTTACTCGAATTGCACAGACTGACAGTAGCGATGTCAAACCTGCTGGTAGAAGGGGGAGGCCACCGGGGCGTCGGCGTAAGAGCCTGCTGCTACGTAAGAAAAAAAAGTGCAAGCTGACCTATGCTGCTTCTAGTGACAGTGACTTTGAACCCAGTCAAGACTTTCTCACAAAAGCCGCAATAAAAGTCCGTATTCCTGAGGAACTGAAACCATGGCTTTGGGATGACTGGGACATGGTTGTCAAACAGAACCAGCTGTTTCATCTCCCTGCGGAGAAGAATGTGGACTCGATTCTAGAGGATTACGAACAGTATGAGAGAACCTCTGGAAATTCGGATCAGCAGATGCAGGATGTTAGGGAATTTGTGGGAGGGATCAAAGCCTATTTTGAGGTTATGCTGGGATCTCAACTGCTGTACAGATTTGAGAGACCCCAGTATGCTGAAATCCTGGCAAACCTACCTGGCGTTCCTATGTCCCAGGTTTATGGAGCACCCCATCTCTTGAGATTACTTGTAAAAATGGAAGAAATGTTGTCCTATACGCCTCTGGAAAAGCACGATTTGGCTTTATTGTTACAGCACTTGCATGCTTTCTTACACTACTTAGCAAGTAATTTTTCACTTTTGTTCAGTCCCAACGACTATGACGTTACTACTCCTGAGTATTATCGTAGAGCTTTTAATTTAATTTAAGTCTGATGGTATTTGTATAAGAGTGATAACATTTGTTATATTTAACTTTTGGTAAATGAATATGTTACATAGTAGACAATCAACACAAATAATTATATTTGTGTTAAACATGGCCAATGTTTCTTCAGGATTTTATTTTGTTTAAATCGAAGTTAAAAGAATGCTTCAGTTGCTTCTCTCCATTTGAAGCTGCTCCTCATTTATGTACCACTGACCTATGTAGAACATTTTATTTTATATTGACAAAAATGCTTTAATTCTGTTGGACTTCTTTTACAATAAGCACTTCTACAATCTGTTTTCCTGGGTGATGACAAAGAGGCTTGTGCCAAAGGTTTACCTTCTTAGACGTAAAGACTCATTCATTTGTGTTGATTTTCTTTTGTGGTGTTGAAGTAAATAGCCCCTCCTAGAAATTTGACTGTCATTCTGGGGCAAAATTTTCTTTTCCGCATGGTTGAAGATTATGATTTATTAGTATTAAGGTTATCTAAGAAGCGTGAATTTTCAAGAGTTGCTTTGTAAGTTCCAGAAATAAATCTTTATTGAAAATGCAATTGTTCTGAACTTTATTTATCACCTTTTTTTAAACCTAGTGCACACAGAAGCCTTCCTGGCCTCAGATTAGAGCAAAGGTGGGGAACCTGCAGCCTTTTAACTTTTAACCTTTTATTAAGGGAATTTGTTCTGTAAAGTTTGGATTCAGTCAAAGGGCTGCACTTGGGGATTGACAGGGCCACATGTGGCCTTGAGGCCACAAGTTCCCTGCCCTGAGGTTAGAGTTTATAAGCATTGAAGTAAAATAATTATTTCTGGAGTCACCAGTGTGAACATTTTAAAATTCACCATCTTTACAAAAACAGAGGGGAGTATGCTTTTTCCCCAATTTAACTCTCACTTACAAAGATTTCCTAGGACTTATTGAACAGATAACTGAACCATCTGTTATCCTATGTATGTGCATTTTTTTTTTTTACTTCTTTGATTCTGTGGGATTGTAAGTGAACTGCTTTAATCTGAAACACCTGTGTCTGGATTAAGAGTAAGTACATGGTATATTGTATCTGAAATTGTTCCTCCCTAGCTAATATTTAGAACAAGTGAATGAAATTTTCTTTCAGATTGACTTGTTCCTCTGATTCAACAAAAAATATCTGTCTTCTCTAATTAGGTGTATATAGTCTTAGGGGGCAAAGAGACTGAGTTTTGGTCACCAGATTTCTTATACAATTACAAGTATTAATATCTTTGAACTTAAAATAGGGAACATTTTAAAAATTAGGACTTTGACCAGTAAATAGCGCCAAGAGCCAAAAATACTGATTCAAAATGTTTGAAGAATAGGAACTTTGTCCATATGCAAAGAATATGAGTCAGGAATGAAATAGTTTGTTATTCCTGTATAATACTTACATCTGTACTTTAAGGATTCATGAGTTAATTTGGGTAGATGGTCCCTTCCAGCACAAATGATTGCAATTGTTCCTGGCCTTAATAGGTGGTCCTATAAATTGTAGTGGCCAAGAAAAAAAAAAATTAAGCATTCTGTGGTGAAGCTGGGGATGAGTTTTCTCTGCACTTTTTTAGGTTACTCCCCAGCTGATCATCTGTTATTGGGCTTTTATTTGAAACATCCCTAGCTGGAGAAGACTTGCCTCCAAGAAGCCCAAGGTCACCTTCACATAGCAATGAGGTATCCTTAGCAAAGGGGAATAAAAGTCATTGCTCAAGTACCATTCCTTTCTGCATAGAATCTTCATGAGTGTGAAAGATTCTGATTTTTCCCATTCTTTTTTCACTGTTAAATTGCACCAGCAATATATCCCAGAAGCTTTTTAAGCCTGGAAAATGGTTCTTTAATAAAAATGTTTTTTTTTTTTTTACACCAAAAAAAATCCCCGAAGTTATTTGCTTTATATGTTTACATTTTTGTCTTATATATAACAGTCTGATTTCCTCCACTTGGGAAAGTTTTCAGATAATTCTCTTTTGAAAAAGAAATTTGGAAAGTTTGCTCTTTGTGAGTTTGTGCTTTCATATGAGGCCTTTATATATTTGGGAGAATTTCCATTAGGAGAGTCAGTGTAGGGTAGGTGGTAGGGAACTGAACTTTTAAGTTGGGAGGACCTGGATTCAAATCTTGCTTCTGACACAAACTGTGTGACCCTCAGTAAATCACTTAACCTCTCAGTGCTTTTTTCTAGGCGACTTCCTAGTACTCTTAAGTTGTAGAAAAGGTCTGACTCTGGGTTCCTGAGGCCAGTGAAATCACAGGTCTTGTCCTCATCCCTTGCATTACTAATGATAGGCTAACTTTGGGTGCTGACAATGTTTTATATGACTTTCTGCCTTTGGTTATTGGTTGGTATCAAGAATGATGAAATACATACTTTTTTAATACTGGCAAAGAAAATAAAGTTTCAGTAAATGAGAAACTTGATCTATAATCTAAAAGCACTCCAATGAGATGAGTGCTCAAACAGGTTTAAGAAGACTTGGAAAAATCAATAGTCCATCTCTATCCAAATTAACCCAGGAATAACTCCACAATATCTTTGCTAAGGGTAGAGCTTCTTGATTCTTCCCAGAAAATGGGTTAGAAATTTGTCAGTGATGTCAGATAGTGAAATACCTAAAGCTCAATCATAAATTACTACCAACCTCACTAGGTCTAGTGACTTCTTCCTTGGCTGACCTCTTAAATACACATACAGATCAGCTTTCTCAAAACTCTTCAAGTGCTTCATCATCGTAGAGGCATAACTAGACCAGCGATTTCATTCGTCGGAGGGCCCTAGACCCCATATGGGGTCACAACCCACAGTTTAAAAAGTGCTGTTAGGCAGCAAGAGATAGAAAGAGAAATTCCATTTAAACTTACTGGAGACATTATAAAATATTTAGGAGTCTCACTCCCAAAACAAACCCAGGAACTATATGAACACAATTACAAAACACTTCACACAAATAAAGTCAGATCTAAATAATTGGAAAAAAAACATCAGTTGCTCATGGGTAGGCCGAGCTCGTATAATAAAAATGACAATTCTACCTAAGCTAATTTACTTATTCAGTGCCATACCAATCAAGCTACCAAAAATTATTTTATAGAGTTTGAAAAATAATAAGACTCATTTGGAAGAACAAAAGTTCCAGAATATCAAGGGAACTAATGAAAAGAAATGCAGGGGAAGGTGGCCTAGCCATTCCAGATCTTAAATTGTATGATAAAGCAGCAATCATCAAAACTGCTTGGTACTGGCTAAAAAATAGAGTGGTGGATCAGTGGAATAGGTTAGGTGTGCAAGACACAATAGTCAATGACTACAGTAATCTATTATTTGATAAACCGAAAGACCCCAGCTTCTGGGATAAGAACCCACTCTTTGAAAAAAAAACTGCTGGGAAAACTGGAAAAGAGTATGGCAGAAACTAGGCATTGATCAAAATCTCACACCATATACCAAATAAAGTCAAAATGGGTTCATGATTTAGATGTAAAGGCTGATACTATAAGCAAACTGGGAGAGCAAGGGATAGTTTATCTATCAGATTTATGGAGAATAGAAGAATTCATGACCAAATAGGAGACAGAGAACATTACAAAAAGCAAAATGGATAACTTTGATTACATTAAATTGAAAAGTTTTTGCACAAACACAGCCAATGCAACTAAGATTAGAAGGAAGGTAGAAAATTGGGAAAGAATTTTTACAACCAGTGTCTCTGATAAGGGCCTCATTTCTAAAATATATAGAGAATTAAGTCAAATTTATAAGAATATATGTCATTCCTCAATTGATAAATGGTCAAAGGATATGAACAGGCAGTTCTCAGATGAAGAAATTAAAGCCATCTATAATCATATGAAAAAATGCTCTAATCACTATTGATTAGAGAAATGCAAATCAAAACAACTCTGAGGTACCACATCACACCTATCAGATTGGCCAAGATGACAAAACAAGAAAATGATAAATGTTGGGAAAGATATGGGAAAATTGGAACACTGATGCATTGTTGGTGGAGTTGTGAAATGATCCAATCATTTTGGAGAGCAATTTGGAATTATGCCCAAAGGGCTATAAAAATGTGCATACCCTTTGACCCAGCAATACCACTTCTAGGGCTGTATCCCAGAGAGAGCATACAAATGGGAAAAGGACCCACATATACAAAAATATTTACAGCAGCTCTTTCTGTGGTGGCAAAGAATTGGAAATTGAGGGGATGTCCGTCAACTGGGGAATGGCTGAGCAAGTTGTGGTATATGAATGTGATGGAATACTATTGTGCTATAAGAAATGATGAACAGGCTGACTTCAGAAAAACCTGGAAAGACTTGGATGGTCTGATGCTGAGTGAAATGAGCAGAACCAAGAGAACGTTGTACACAATAACAGCCACGTTGTTCGATGACTAATATTGATAAACTTAACCCTTCCCAGCAACACAAGGATCTAAGACATCTCCAAAGGCCTCGTGATGGAAAATGCTATCCACATCCAAAGAAAGAACTATGGAATTTGAATGCAGATTGAAGCATACTATTTGCTTTTTTTTCTCTTCTGTTGAGTTTTGTTTCCTCTTCCTGGTGGTTCCTCCTATTGGTTCTAATTCTTACAACATCACTAATGTGAAAATATGTTTAATAGGAATGTATATGTATAGCCCATATCAAATTGTGCGCCGTCTTGGGGAGGGTGGTGGGGAGGAAGGGGGAGAAAAATTTTAAACTCAAAAGCATATGAAAGTGATTGTTGATAAATCAAATTAATAAAAAAAGGGAAAAAAGTGCTGTTAGGGGTGTCGAGTGAAAAAAAGTTTAAGAAGCCATGGTCTATTCAACTCTTGAATGAGGAGACTCCCTCTACCAGTACAGGTCTGCACATTCTCTGCAGCTGATACTCTTAGGTAACTGGAATAATGAAAGGGCTGAGGGTCAGAGCCAGTAGGATTTAGAGGCAAGACTTGAACCTCATTCTTTATGTCTCTAAAGT